CCAATTTGGTCTGGGCCCGAGGTGGGCTTAATAGCCGGCGACTACTGTACTCGTACCGTGTACCTTTGGTTAGAATTTTCGCCACAAAAACAATAAGCATCGCCGTGACATCTGCTTTGATGAACCTGGCAATCCCTTCAGACCTTACAGAGGTGTTTTTACTGATACTTCTCCTGTGTCGAGTATCACCAGTACATATTGTGTAATAAAACTCTTGAAATGTGCTTCCAAGGAGAATTTTGTGTACCTGGACACTGGTGAGGAACAGGCCAGCCTGAGTAATAGACGCAAGTCTCCGTTATGTACAAACGTCCACTTGAAAGACGTTTCTATTTTCCGCAAAATGTTGAAGTTGGTAAAAAAAAAAAGAAGTAGGTTACGATGCGGTTATAAAAAGCTAATACAGTAGTCGCCGGCTATTAAGCCCACGGTTAATAAGCCCATCCGCCTATTAAGCCCAATTTGGTCTGGGCCCGAAGTGAGCTTAATAACCGGCGATTACGGTATTAGGCCCACGGTTAATAAGCTCAGCCGCTTATTAAGCCCACTTTGGTCTGGGCCCGAGGTGGGCTTAATAGCCGGCGACTACTGTATGTAGCAACGACAAAAATACGATAAATAAAAATAACTTGCCGCTACCACCACCGTCAGTCGCGCATTACAGAATTCTGGGAGTTTAGGCTTCCGTGGTGAACCCTATGCTAGATTGTTGCCCAGGCAATATCTGGATGATTTGAAATTTTTCGGCAAGTTTAACCAACCTATGGATTTGGAAATACTCTCAGATATCTCAACATATTGTTAAATTGCGATTTCTCTAACGGAGCTACCCTCCCATTTTGTTCCAGGAGTGCTCTACCTTCGTGAGTAGTCACAGAGCGGAGTTCACCTAGGAGGTGGCGATAGAAAGTACGGTGAAGATTTCTGTTCCAGCATATGTTACTTCAGTAACGACAAATATTGCATAACCACCTGTTGTCTGCCGCGTCCTATTTCACGTCCCTCTTCCCTTTGACTTCAACCATGCAACTATAAATGAATGAGTCTTTGAACTCCTCCCATCCCACTCTCCTTGAAAAAGTGTGTTCTCTGTGTTTGTATTTGGATGTTTTCTTTTTTTTTCTTCAGGTCGTCCACGAGGAAGTTAAGGAATCCGTGAAGACGGGCTGCTGGTTCGGTGATGCCTTCCTTTTCACCAACTCCGCCAATCGCCTGCTCTACTTTGTGGGCGGCGAGCTGGTAACAGTAGCCCACCTGGACCGACCCATGTACCTGCTGGGCTACCTGGCCAGTGAAAATCGCGTCTTCCTCAGCGATCGCGATCTGAATGTGGGTGTCCAGTTCTCTTTCTGCCATTTTACTCACTTGCAGCTCCGGTCTTTTTTCATCCGCAAATTGCCTTAGATGTTTTTGTAAAGAAGAAAAGTGCGCATTCCCTGGGGTAGTATCTGTATTAGTCTGAGGTTTCGGCTTCACACAAGAGGCCATCGTCAGAGAAAATGGGAAGACAGC